TGTCGCCTGCCTTTTGTCATCGCGTAAGTCTGGAAAAGCGATGCGCGTATGCGACATTCGTCGACGGACGTTTATTGTCCTACCCTTGGCAATCCCTCTCCTTCTCCCCTTCACCCAACCGCCTAGCTCTATTCGTATCTCGTAAACGATGAATCCAATGAAATAAATAGGCGAGAAATTTTCCCATACTCGAATTATTCGCCGAGCGTAAAATCGCATTGCGTTAGACGAAATAGCTAGCTGGTTTGTTAGAATCGAGCTATCGAAGACACCGAAAATCACTTAAAGTGTAAATTTTCCCCTTACATGGGTTTTTTTTCATCATTCTCATCAATACGTTTTATAAAGAAGTACTGTAATAATTGTTTCCTCGGTCGTCTTTATTTTTCGAGGATTAATCCATTCGTTCACGAGACACGATTTGGCAAATCAAATATTATTTTTCGAAACGCTCGTTGACAAAAATAATAACCCGCAAATTCAATTTTATACTTACCGTTTAAATATGAATTAACGTTTTATAAAAGGTACCACCACAGTTAGATAACTGGCAGTAGCACATTTACGTGAATTTTGGTAAGAAAAAAAGTTTGCTCGTTTTCACTCGTCGACAAACGGCACTCGAAAACTAAGCTAGCTCGTAGAATTTCGACTCTGTGAAGGCTTACCACGTAAGCTTTCGTGAAATTCTTGTAATCCTCAAAAGCGTGGAGACATAAAATACAGAAGAGAAAGAGAAATAGAGAGAAAGAGATATGCGAGTGGAAAGGTAAAAGAAAAAGCTCGTGTAACCGATTACTTCAATGCTCCTTAAACCTATTTAATTACTTAGAAATGGACTACAAGAGAATTAAAGCATGCGCGAAAATTCGAGCAGTGGATAAACTCGTAGTTTTATTTACCTTTGCAATGGACGGATATTTCGACGAACAAGATCGAATATTTCCTCTTTCTCTTTTTCTTCCTATCTTCCCATTGTTCTCTTTCTTTCTTGACAAGAAACGATAACATTTCCTCCCGCACTTTCGTCGTCGTTTCGACAGCAGGAAGAGTCGTTTGAACTTACGACACGGACGACGATAAACTCGTTTCTTCGCTGTCCTCTTCTTTATTTGCCCCCTTCATTCTCCCCTTCCTTCTCCCTTTCTCTTTCGACTTTTTTTTTTTTACCCCGCTCCTTCGGTCGGAGCCTTATCTCAAAAGGAAACGAAGATATTTCGAACGATGGGGTCAGAGAGTAATCCAAAGTTGAAAGGTCTTTCGATCTTTCTGCCTCCTCCTCTTTTTTTGCCTCCTTTCCTCTTCTTTTCTCTTGTGTTCTTTTATTTTCTTCTTTCTACCGGCAATAAGCAGTAGTACGCGTAAAAACGATTTCGCCGTTTACCCGTTCCACGGTTTTCGAAATTGCCTTTGCAGTCGATTCTATGTACCACGTGAGTAAGCTACAATGATCAAAATCCTTCTACCTTGTATTATCCCATTTTCCATAATTTCGATATCGTTCCCTCTCTTTTCTTTCGGCTCTAGTCGTTTCAGATAAAGAATATATATATCTCGATAATCAGATTAAACGACTACGATTTAGATTTCCTAATTTGAGTTGGGATCATTCGATTGCTTTTATTTAAAAAAAAAAAAAAAAAAAAAGGAGAATAAAATAAGATTCATTTTGAATAGAATCGCAAGTTCGTATAGTGGTGTAAAAAGGCTCGATTCGGTTTTAATGCATAAAACTGCATTGAAAAAGGATAGAGAAAATGAAGAGAAAGATTACAGGACGCTAGAGAATATTATACCGAATATTGAATTCGATTTGCGAAGAGTACAATGGAATGAGACGAAGAGAAGGATATGGAACCTTCGAAGAACTCTGATTGAAAATAGTTCGGGTTCAATCTTGGCCCATGTAGAGACTTTCCCGAGTGCTCCTGAATAAACACTGGCTTTCTCTCTACTCCGCGCGAGAATCAATTCTGCGGCCTAAGCGAGGTGCTAAGTTCCTTCTGTAAAAGCGAATCGTGGAGGTACGATAAAATAAATGAACGAGAAAAGAAAGAGAGAGAGAGAGAAAGGAGAGGTAGAGTGAGCATAAAATTTAAAGATCGGAGCACGTCGTTTCTCCATAGAATCGTTGACGATTCCTCCCTACTCGTTTTCTTTCTCCAATTCTATCATTTTCTTTTAAATACTAAAATAAGAAACCAATAAGAATATAAGAGAAAAATCAACAGTACAATTTATTGATACACGCTAAAAAGAACTGTATTCCTTTCGCTCATCCATCATGTTTAAGATTTCGGATTAGATCGCGTATCCATTAAAAAGGAAATTCGCGAGATTCTTCTTTCTTAACTCTCGTGAGATATCCCGTTTTCCCGATTGAGAAAACTCCAAGAGAATTCTACCAGTCAGTCGAACGATTTGTTTTGCAGTCTTTCTTCCGATAAGAATCCTTACAAATCGATGTATCTTTTCGTATATTCGCGACATTCATCTTTCTTTACATCTCATCTCATCTCATCTCTCATTCTCTCTCTCTCATATTCTTTATTCTCCTCTCTGTTTATTTGTGAAAGTGTAAACAGTTTCAACGATAAACGCTGCTTTTCCATCTGAATTCTAAAAACTTTTAGGTTCGGGGTGAGGCTAGCAACTTACCCACGGTAAAAAACAATAAATCGCTCCTAGAAATAGCAATAAAAAAAAAACTATTATAACAGGACAAAGTCCTAATAAAATGAGGAAGAAGAAGAAGAAAAACAAAATAAATATATTCTAAATATATTTTTATTAAATGTCAAACGAGTCTCAACAAAATAACTTATTGTATCAATTAACTATCTTCGCAATTTTAATAATTACGAGATTTTAATAAAAAGATAGAAAAAGAGAAAGAAAAAGAGAAAGAGAAAGTAATAGTAAAATAGAAACTTAAGAAACTCTCGTTTGATTTGATTCCAGCAATAGCAAAATGTCGTTTCAATCCTTTAACGATTTCAGCAATTTTAAAATTGCTCACGTAATGATTAATAATTTAACGAAAATGTTCATAGTAATGCGAATTGTTAATTCGTGTTCAAAATAGATAGAAGAAGAAACTTGATCGGATTCTGACTATTCGGCTATCGGATTTCTTAATACCTGCCTAACGATTAAGAAAGATTGATAGAGAGAGAAAAGCTTATGATTAATGATATGATATTAAAGAGGAAACGAGTAAAATAATTGAACGTCGAGGCGGATGATTTAAAACCATTATTCAATGACAAAAAGTGAAATTTTCTCAGTGACTCGTCGCTGGTATGAGTTTTGTTATCGAAACCGATCGTCGTTCGAATTCTGACAAATATTTACCATCCTGAAATGGAAGAACGATATATATTTTGCTGTACGTGTGTACATAGTCGTATGCCATTGTTAAATCACGTGTTGCCCGTCGATGAAATATCGATTCAAATTCCTTATTTATTCCGTGCTCGTTAAAGAGAACGGCGGAGTGAAAATGACATAGAAAATTGTTGCAGTTTATTTAACATTTGATGTGATTTTACTTTTTTCCTATACTTTTTATCAATGGTATTAAGATAAAACAGGCGACTATAAACATATACTTTGAGAGACATATATCGTTTAATTCATGTTTCTTCAAAATAGAAGATAACATACTGCAACATACATACTACAATATAATCTTTGAAAATTATGAATAAATTATTTAAAACACTCATAACAAAGATGCAAGAGTTCGTATTCCATTGAAATTATATAACAATTTCATTTGACTATTTCACTGGAAACAAAATATATATGTATTAAGATATTTACATAAAATATATATATATGTAAAATTTGTCTTTTTATTTTAAAATTGAATTTACCAGTAAATAAGTAATAAAACGAGAAAAAAGAATATATATAATCCTGTTAGGTGGTTCGAAAAGAGTCTTTAAGAAGGTAGAAAAAAGAAAAGAAAATAAAAAAGGAGAAAGAAGGAAGAACGAGCAGAGTAAAGTAGGAAAAGAGGAGGTTAACTTTTGCGTTATCTTTAATGTTCATTTTAATGAACCTTCATCAGCCCCGTTATACTTTTACGAAAACGAGAGAAACGATGATGCTTTGCTGTGTCGACGATTTTTGCATTTATCATATATAATTATGTCGTGTTCAACGTTAAAACTCGTCTAATGTAATTTTTTATACGTGTTTTCGCCATCACCCTAGTTGTCGTCGTCGTCGTCGTCGTCGTCATTGTCCTCGATTTCGTTCTCATCCTCCTTGTCTTAGGGTAATTAAATTCTATTCTACCTACTCGTCGCGTGTTACGAATATCGTGAACGGGAAAGGTAGTGGGTTTGTAAAAGGCGGTATAATGTTAAAGCCACGATGCTAATGTACTCTCGTAACGAAACAGCGAAAGGGGATTTCGAAAGGAAGAAAAAGAGAAAAAATAACGAGCACGTGCTTTAAACAATTAACTCACAAAAAGTTATTATTTTTATTTTAAAAGATTAATATTTTAATGCTCAATAACCAAATTATTAGTATTTACTGAATTAAATTATTGTTTTGAGTTAATACTGATAATATTATATATTAATTACAGGAAAAGAAAATATCCTGTTATAAAATAAGAATTGAGAATATTAAATAATGCGGAAAGAGAAAGAGATAATATTAGCTTACAATCAGATTTATAGTATTTCGATATACCACGTACACTGAGAATTCGATTTCTTTTCCAATTAGTCTTGTCGTGGAACTGGAGAATCGGAAATAAAGGATAATCAGAAAAAGAAATAAAGATCCCAGACAATTTAAATAGATGATACAATAAAGAATGATAGATAGAACATACGAATCTTTTAAGCTTTTTCATTTACGTAGAATAGACGTTTATAATACATCAGAATAATTATTTCTGTGTCGTATATTAATATATTTATTTCATAATAAATATGCGATATATGTAATGTTATTGAAAGTAATATTTTTGGTTTCAGAATCCACCTCAAAGGAGGGAGTGACACTATTGTCTGGTTAGAAGGACGTTTCCAGTTTACTCAGACCGAGTGTGAGTCTAACGTAATCAAATCTGATATTTGCCGAATAAATTAAGGAACCACGTAATTTTATTAATCTGTTTCCGTTGATAATCCTACAAGGAGTTTCTCTTTCAGATATCTTTTGTAATTACAAAGAATATTTATTTGCTTTGTAAAGCAACTTCATTTGTTATAATTGAAAAGAAAAACAAAATTGTACGCTTGACGAGAGTTGAATTTTCGATAGATCTAATACTTTAAGAAGATTAAATTCAATAAATAATGCACTCGTGGTAGAAATGCATAAAATTGAATTATTTAGTTGATAATATATCAAGTTTAATTTAGAAAAAGGATTTTATTATTAAATAATATATTTCCGGTTTATAGTACGGTCTAATTCCATTTTAATACACGACCTGGACGACTCGAACAAGGTCCGGAGATTGAAGATAAATTCGTAGGATTAATTCGGATGACCAAAATTGAGTACACCAAATAGAATCGATCGTCATTCAAAGTTTAGTTAAAGTCCGACCGATAGTTCCTCTTAAAACTCGATAGTTCAAGTTTAACTGAAGTTCTTCCGTTTCGTAATTTTAAGAATAAGGCCGATGCCATTTCGAGTAGGTATTGAAAAGTCTTAAGATTGAAACGTGGTCATTTTCGATATTGAATTTTTTAATTAATTTGTTAAACTTCGATGATATTAACAAATTTCTGAATAAGTAGAAAACAATCCGAATATTAAACAACCACGAACTTTGACTTCGTTTTTCGGATAAAAATGTTTTTAGAAAAAGCTTGTTACATCGTAAAACCATCTTGTCATCAATATTATTTCTGAACTATATCGTGTTATCTTTCATCATATATAACCGTTTTATTCATGTTAAACTTATTGTATTCGACGTAACGATCACAGTTCGAAGCTTTTCTTCCTATACAACAATACAACAATACCGAATGATACATTCGTCTGTTTCTGATAAAATCTACGTAGTATTTTCACCGGAAACCATAAAAAAAACTGTTTGAAAGAACACAAAAATGAAAAAAAAAAAAAACAAACAAAAAAGCTTGTATAAAAATAATGATAAATACGTGCTAGATAAAAAACAACAAATTATCGAATTTCATTCGGTAAACTGAAGTTTAATTTGCCAAAGAACGAGACAAGTTCGTAAATTAGCTTCGCTTATGAATGTCATCCTAAAGATTTTTGTATACAGGTATGTTTTGTACGTGTATATGTATCCATGTATTTGTGTTGGATAAAGCGAAAGAACTTTCTGATACTTTCGTGCAACTTAGAGTTAATAACAACTGTCTTGCGTCTTGCGACGAACTTGCTAAAGAAAAAGAGGTGCAGTAAAGTGACAGAGAGAGAGAGAGAGAGAGAGAGAGAGAGAGAGAGAGAGAGAGAGAAAGGTGAATAGTATTTCTCCCCCTAGATTTATAAGACGATTCGGACTTATTTGAAAAGTTGATGCAATTCCGTGGCCATGGCACACAGCCCGTAAATATTCGAGAAACTCTGAACTCGAGGAATAATGTACCCCAGCTTTATTGCCGGACTGTTTGCATAACTGTTAGATACATTTCGATATGTAAGTATGGAAAGCCAATGACAATATGGCCAAATGCATCTGGCTTTTATCGGTGCGCTCTACGAAATTCAGAAGTCATATCTCGTATTTCGCGAAAAAGTATGAAAGTTACATGTATCATAAGTTTTAAAATTCAACACAGAGTAAAAGAATTTTCGGATTTTTTCTCTCCATCATTTGATATATCTTTACATAGATCTTTGAATAAATTCGGAAAGAACATGTATATGCATATAATCTGTCTTAACGTTAGATAAACATGTCTTCTTTAAATTACTAGATATATTTATTTCAACGCGTTTTGATATCTCATTTAATGATTTATCTTTTAAAAGATATTCAACATAAATTTCTGAAAATGAAAAAATTTGTTCAATATATTATATATGATACTTCTTTCTAAGCTTCATGATTAATCGTTAAACAGAGAACATAATGAAAAACAAGATACACTTAATAGCTTGCTGCTGTGTTAAATCCCACTTTCTTTCTTTCTTTTTCATAAATAAATAATTGGAAATAAAATATATCTATATGATTTTTTTCGCGTTATTTACATCGATTAAATGAATTAAAAAACAAAACAAAAACACAAATAATAAAAGGTCATATATAAAAATTAAATAAAAAACATTCGTAAAGATAATAGCATTAACAAGATATTAATTCTTATTAATTGTAAATAAGATTTTTCGTCCATTATCCTCGCTAAATATTTTCGTGACTTCCTGTATTTAATAATAAGTATATGACCTAACGGTAGAAGAACGTTCGTGTTCAAAGAGCGGTAACTCTTTTCTTGAATCACGTTCTTAAGAACCCTTCGCTCGAGATTGTATCCAAGCGTGTTTTCAGAATGTTCAAAAAATTCCATAAAAATCTTTTAAACATTCCGCGAGTCGAAGGAACGCAATCATTGACGCCATCGGCCTTTCAAGTCGAAAGTACGGAAACCGACAATCACAAAATGGCATAGTCAGGTATATTCTTCTTTTCTTTGCAAACGGTTCATCGTATTCCGGTATACATAGATCTGCTAATACAACGTGGCGTGAGTAAAAAGTATTAAAGCATTTTTACTTTTGAAAATGCTCCTCGAGACTAAGTAATATATTAAGGTATTATCAAGTACGTAATATCTTTCCGTGACGTGAACCAAATTACCTCAAGAGGATTACCATGAAATTATTTTCTTGGGTCAAACTACAACTATACAATAAACCTAATATCCTTCTATCTCATCTCGCTCAAGCAACAATCTCTCTACGAATACATTTTTATTTCATTTAAACCGTAAACCGTAAATCCGAATAAATACTTTCAAATAGATATTACTAATTTATAGAGACACATTGTGTAGAATTATCGCAATACAGTGAATATTATACAATTTCTTTCTGAAAGATATGTGCATTTTTTCGTTGGAAAACAAATCAACGATACACTTTTAAAGTTTCTATGTATCAAAAATAAATACGCGCGTAATATATGTACACTTAATATTCTTCTTTTCTTTTTAAATACTCGAACGATATAAATCTTTTGCATTATTGCTAAATGCGATTCATCACAGACGTTACCTTTCTTAATACAGCTTTAAGATAATCTTAGCTATCCCTTAGCAAACAGCTGTACGCCTTTACCAACCCCTTTCGTGCAGCTGCGACCACCGTTTTGGTAAGCCGAAGGCTTTATTTTACCAATACATTTGTCTAATAACGCGAATTGTAATAATTATAAGCGACGCACTTGTCTAAAGTCGAACCTAAGTCAGACGAATAACGCAAGACGAATTGTTGGAACCTCGAATAGAAAAATCCACGTAAATATTTTCAAGGAAAAATATAATGGTAGCTAAAATAATCAATCATATTCAATATATCATAATCTTGTATTAATTTGTAAAATTTAGATATGAAGAAAATGAATAAATATAAATTTACTTTCTATAATAGCTAATTAAAGAATGTGAAGCCATCTATCAAAAACGTTTGATTTATAATAAACTATTACAAATTTCGAAGCATACTCGAAGGTTCGACTATTCGAATATTATGATCCAAATTCAAAAGGAAACATAAAGCAATCACGTAAATCTCTAATATTATCTATTATCTTGTCTAACAGTTGACATTTCTATATAAATCCTATCGTCGTCTCACACGACCATCATTCTTCCTTATGATCTTCTGCAAAAGCAATCTGTACTCTATAGTCACGTATACTATGCAACATGCTTGTCCATGCTTACTCGATGCAAATAAACATTCAAATGCATATATCATTTACACGTAATACATTAAAACACATCTATACATTTCCGAGAGATTATATAAACTATAAAGGAATATTTGTATCCCATAAGGATATCTGCAGGGGTGTATGGACTCGACACAAATAATAATAACTTTTCTTCAGTACCTTAGCACACCTTTTCCTTCTTTTCCCCTTTTATTTCTCTCTTCTTATCTGGCGCTCTGAGCTGTTTTCTTTATCTTTCTTTATATATACGTATACCTATCTATAAAGGTATGAAAAACTTTACACTGCAAACTGTAAAAACAAACGATGAAAAGAAAACCTTTGTTACAATATAGCCTGATATTTCAACAAATATTCATATAACATTCCTAAGCAAGTTTTTCTTTCGCTTCTTTTTAATAATTTTACGATGAAATTTGTCCTAGTATGTATATATTGGAAATCATTTTGAGAAAGGGAAATAATGTTAGATAATATTAAAAAATGTCCTTACTTTCGTTGGAATTTAACAAAAAGATAAATACGGTTTAATACTAACGTTAAGAGTTAATAAAAAAGATTAACATGAAAGAATGTAAATATAGAATAAATCTTTTTATAACTCGTATAATTTTCTAAATTTAAATGTTAGCTAAAGATTTCGAATTATTAAAAGTCAATTATGATAATTGATGTTTATTTTTACATAATTATTTATACAAAATAGATTAATATAATATACAACAATATGTGTGTTTAGTCGTATGTGGTTCTTGAAAAATACGTTCAGAGAAACTTGACTTAAATCTCAAGAGAAATTTAAGGAAATCTCTGTAACAAGCTTGACAGCAGAGTTATGAGATTAATCGTACGTTAGTGAAACTCTATAGTCATTAGTGGGTCTTCTTGAGTACAGGTATTAAGTTCCCTAATCAGTATACGATATAGCTCTAACATAAGTATAAAAGAGAATTAACCAAATTATAATTATTACTATTCAATGTAAGTATTCAATGCATAAACAAAGTCACAAAATGAATTAAACATGAAATTAATTAATTTCATTAAGATTGTTCACTTTGATTTATCAACTATGATAAATCGATTTTATATGCAATAATTATTAATAATTCGAACAAAAAGAAAAAGATATGATTATGAAGAAACAGATGGCTCTT